GGACCTTACGGCACGGTGGATTCAAACCATTCACAGAGAGGATTTGTGCCAAGTGAACGCGACCAGCTGTGACGCCATAAATTGCTGCTGCAGCCACGAGATGCTGTAAGGGGACCATGACAGGTAGCGAGCTATAATGGAGAAGAATGAAGGAAGTGTAGAACAGGCAGAGAGATGCAAGAGATGGAGAGAAAATGGATGGATTACAAGCTATGATTGGCGCTGAAATTAAATGACTGATTGATTTGTCGGTATTAAACGACGCTTTATCAAGCACCGAGATAGGTCAGTATTTGAATTGGCTGGCTGCGAGCTGGAAGACTGGAATTCGATTCCCGATGGGGGCACGACCAGACCGGCTCTGCCCTTACGTCTTAAAGACGTAATACTTAAGCACAGGGTCATGCAATGAAGAGAAAGGGACGTGGAATAAAGCGATCGTCACATTGTTTACGGCGATATTTCAGCATTTTCGTGGTGAAACTGAGTAAAATCATGCACGATTCTGTTGAGGATAGCCGATACTTTAACTAGGCACCTCACGAACATAAATCAGAAGCATTTGCCACACGCGCTAACCTGCTTGAAGAAGCCCGGCAATTCCAGGCGTACCAAATCCGCGATGTTACAAGAAACTATAGGAATAGCATTTCAACGTGTCAAACGACAGACTCCTACGGCTTTATTCATGTGTAAAGCTTACAGTGGCATATACTGAAATGTATTTCTTCTTGTTCAGGGGTATAAAGACCTCGGGGCGTAGTATGAATCAGTCCTCAACCCTGTCTTATGAATGATACGACCGTTGCTTATCTGGTATAAATTTTAAAATGGGGTTTATGTTCTATCCCCAGATTTCATTTGAAGGAAACCAGTAAGCCAACAAGGAAAGAGCACGAGGCATAATGTCAACTTAACTTATTTAAAAATCCACTAACAGGATAGCATCAACTCTACAGTAAATAAACTTTGAAAACAGTGACGTAACATTGTAAAATCAAAAATCATGACTGATACAATTATTAATACATTAAAATAACGAAATTCCACGAAAACAGGGTGTTTCTGAGAAGCTGATAATCACTCAGCTGGTCAATATATCCCCCGCCTTTTTATGTAACCCAGAGTTACATTATCGTGTTCATAAGAGCCTGAGAATGGACCCTATTCTGTGCCAGATGAGTTTAATCTTACACTATTTAAGACTTATTAGTATTATCCTAAACAAAGTCTAGTATTCCAAGTATTCTATACTTTCCGGTTTTCCGACGCAAATTCCAATATTTAATAACAGTTCAAATTAATAAGCCCCTCCTCTTAATTCCTTCCTCTTAGTTCCGAATATTCCCCTCTGCCTCCTCTCCTGAAGCACCCTCAACCCGTGTTCTTATTTTAACGTAAGCTTCACACCAATACAGAACAGGAAAAATTATACTAAATTCGACATACGACGAATATCAGCTAAACTTTGACGGGCGAAATAAAACAGAATTATACTCAACCGACAGCTTATAGTTCAGGGACCTAAACACCAAATTTGACACAAATCCGTTGAGCGGCTCGTCAAGCGTTCATTTCGTGAAGTGTGCGTAAAATTGTGTCACAACACGGCTGAAACAGTGATCGTGTCTGGCCACCCCTGGAAAAGCACACGTACCGCTGTGTGTTGTTTGTTACTCTGGCTTTGTTTGCTTCTCACTTCGCCATCTTCAAGCAAATCCCTTCTCTATAACGTCAATCCTCAACCACTTCCCTCTACAGTGGCTGGTGCAAACATACGTCAGTACAGTGCATGCGTCTATATAGTACATATTGCACCCACCGCCTTGCAATTACCATGGAAGCTCTGAGGCACTGGTGAGGTCTGGACACAGCGTGGTCTTCACCTCATTTCTCTTTATTCTTTAAAAAAATACCTCACAATCCGGTACCAACACAATATTAACTTGCAAGTCTGTCCGCGATAATTTTGCCCATTAACCAAAGGAAAGATGGAAAAACATTCTCAATCTTAGCCGGAACAGACTAACAGTTTAATCTATTAAGACGACGTAAACACACACACACACGCATATTGCATGCAGCTACAAATAGGAAAAAGGGATTATGTCCCTCAATACGTTCTAGGAAAACCAAGAAATCTGAATGTCTTAGACGACGTCACATTGTATTAAAATGGTAGTTAAAAATATTTGTAAACACATTTTGAAACAACCATATTGAAGGAAATCTATAAGTAATGGTCGCGACGTTTAAAATATATAATGGTAGTGGAAAAATTAAGCCTATATTACCTTCACACTGTCACATTGGTTAGAATACCTCTGCGTTTTTAATCTGCGTAATGTAAACGTTTGTCTGCATCAATTTCAGCCCTGCGCCATTACTGTGTAACTTTTCAGTTAAAAATTGTCACACACCATTCAATATAAGTTCTGGAAGCACTGCGCAAATTTGCTTTTCTGGGGACTTTCAATGTTTAAATATAGGAACTGTAACAAAATCGACCCTAACTTATAACCCTCATCACTGGACTAGATGAACATTTCATGATCCGAAAATTGCAGCTAACTGGTCTACAACTTCCTAGCATCACCAGGACTTGAAACAATAAGCTAAATCCTATTTGCCACTCACAGAGCATTAAAAATTACATATCCTGTCAACAATGACGGAAAATGAATGTCTACCTTCATACAAAACACTTGCGTACGTCGACACGTTACCATAGCAACACATTTTTTACCATTTTGGTAACCAGCTCTGTCGCGTTATGTCGAAATTTATACGAGAATGTGGATTATATCGCAAACATGTGAGATCTCAGATCCTCGCTTTACCTAGTATGCAGATGGCTGTCTTCTGAGATATTGCACAGTGAAGTTTGGTAGGTATTGACCGACGTTTCAGAGAAGCTCACTGCCTTCTTTACGTGACTATGGAGACAGTAAGGTCCTCTGGAACGATAGCCAATACCTACTACACTTCACTGTACGGTACCCCAGAAGACAGACATCTTGAGATTACAATAACATTGTCGATTTCCTTAAAAACATGAAACAGGGAAAATGTCCATGCACAACAGTTGAGAAGAATCTTGGTTCCCAGAGCTTCAATCTGAAAACTATAAAGATGCCATTCTAGATACCGGCGAATCAATGTCGACCTATTTTAGGCCAAAAAATCTGAAGAATTTAGTAGTCGCGGTAACCAATTTATGATAGTAAGTTTACGTTTTATGATGACACAGCCACACGTTTAATTTAATTTACATCTTCAGGAAACTGATGATATTTTATTTTGTAAGTACGTATGTTTCCGTATAATTCTCAGAATAAACAGCGACTATTTCCTTATACAGCATAAACCAATTAATCTTTGTAGCAGTGAAGTGTTTTCTTACAGTTTCAAATTGAATTTGTAAATATTTAGACGAGCTTCGGCTTCAGAGGGTTTACTTTTTTTTTAAATTTCAGTTTATACAATCCGTCAAAACACTTAAGCACTTCTCAGTTGATACTGTCAACATCATTATTTCTTGGGCAACAAATTCTATTGTTTCCACTCGCCTTTTATTTACCTTGGTGAGACTAGAATACAATACAAGATTAATTATCTTTATTAAACTTCTGTAAAAGGAAATTTTTCTAAGAAATATTTACAAATTCAATTCCTACCTCAAAAAAAAAACAGAATTCGTCTCACAATCAGTTTCAAAGACCAATCGGTTAATACTCTATAAGAAAATAATTGCTGTTTATTCTAAGATAATATGAAACCCATAAATACGCTCTCGGCAAAAAGAACTACTGAATCTTGAAGCACTTGTTACATCTAAGTTGATACTGTGCTTGAAAGAGTTACAAAATAGCTTGACTTTCTACTTCTTTCCCGAATTCGTAAAATGAGTGGTGAGATGTGTTGGACAAATGATGGTTATCGTATAGCGAGCGCAGTAGCTGTGGTCAGCTGATCTACTGCTGCTTGTGCCCGGGGTAGTAAAAAAATCCTCCGGTAAGACTGTATAAAAGCTCCCTGGATAAGGAGAAAGACTAAAAGAGGATTGGACGGAGGTTTTCCGTCGCCGTAGGAAGTTAAACCCTCCGAACAGAGCCATACATCTCCACGAAATGGCCCTGTTACTGGAGCCCACCCGCGCTCTGTCTTGTGATTTTGTGTACATTGCCACATGTCGTTACACATTGGCATTTCAATTTAAAATGCATGCTGATCGATATAACCGTGGACCATCATGGGTCTAACAAGTTCATTTACCAATAAATTAAAGTCCCAACAAAGTCCCCTTCATCTGATAAATTAAAAATAGAACCTATCTTATAATATGTAAGATCTGTGCAAAAAGACATAAGAATCAGAAGATTATATTATTAATATATAATATTTACCGTTGGTTCCTCACATAAAACGTCACTTCCTGTGACATGTTTATCAGAGACAAATACAGACATACGAGTACATAAATATTTGGTTACATTTAATTATATTTTAAAATAAAGATTTTTGTTATGTTACTGAACCTTATTGTACTGTTTTTCTTTTAGTTAGCATAATTATACGATTGTTATCATAATATATATCTTCCGCAATCCGTCTTAAAATATCGTTTCGGTTCAATTTGTGTTCTAGAAACAATGACAAGTTTTTCAACTTAACTTCATATTTCATAAAAATTTTAAGGTTTTATGAGATCTATATAATTTTCGTTGCATCATTTCTGACGTTAAATGGGAACTTAAAACGTAAGGGCTCACTAAAGTCCTAATAGTACAAATATATATCATTCAAATACGTTTACATACTTGTTATTCTGTTTTTACAAATTACAAAATCCAGCTTATAAGCAACAAGGTTTTCATTTTTAGACGGATGCTGTTTGTAATCCTAAGATATGTGAATTAACAGAGAAAAGACTAACTATTATAATTTAGAGCACAAAAAATGTTACGATTGTGATGATAATTCAAATAATTAAATAGTACTCATCATGTGCGTGCTGCATGAAGTCCTGAATTCGTGATGTATCCGGTAATATCCGTCCCTGAAACAAAAATAGATATCAAATTACAACAAAGAAAACTCAAGCTCGCCGTAAAAATTTATGCTGGAGACATTATCATTAACATTTTAAAACGCGTTTAAATTCTATACCACCGATCGTAACTGACTCACAGGTTTGGCTGAGAGACCAAGCAACTGAAATGCTAACAAACCCCACGGAACAGTCCTTGAGAACTCTTATATCACTTAGCTAGTCAAGAAAGTTCTTCACATTCTATGAATCATAGACGTTCATTGCTGTGTTCACAAGAGTCCGACACAGGCCCCTTACTTGATCCCTATGAGTCCAGCGTTCCACCACAACATTCCACCCTATTTCCTCAAGACCCATAACTGTTCTTGTAAATTTCTCAGTTTTCTGGAATTTACCTGAGGAAGAACTTTCCGCTGCTTTGAAAAGTAAGTCCCGTCAGTCGACAAAGTGCGTGCAGAATACCTTTACAAACTACGCGACTGATAAACAAAATATAAAGTAAATAAATTACAAGACTGAATATATGAACCTACTACATAGTAACTGATTATTGCACTTAGGGGTAGCACAATATATGATTATCGTAAATATTTAAGCCAAGAATATTCATTTCTTTATCTAAGTCGAAATGTATTGAACGCAACATTTCCTTAAATGTAAATATATTCAGAGTCCTTTGAATTCCGTTATAAGAAGATTTTATTACATCAAGATTTGTCCAGTTATTTCTCTGTTAGATGAAAATCAATACATTATCACTCTGTCGCAGGATTTTAATAAAATGACGGCAAATCTGTGCCGTGAAGCTGCCAGTCGCCTTAAACACTACAGGCAATGTCAAGTCTCATTATCAAGCCACGGAATTAAGAGCCATATTTAACGTCAGCTGCACACTAGACCTGACCTCCTACATTAAAACCACAAATCTCAGCCCGTGACGTATCAACTACTAATAATTACTGGTAACATGTTTTATATCATAGCCTAATCAAATCCCTGTTGAGGTAGAAAATTAATTAATATCCCTTTCAGACAGCCGATCCGACTGTACTATCAGATAAACATAAGGAAATGTAAGTAAATACAATAACTAAACAAGATAAAGATAGTGGAATGAGGGGGGTTATGTTGATAATACGGTCCCATTTTAATATCAGTAACCAATAGAAAAAGAGAAACGAAATGACAAAAGAGCTGGAGAATGGCGCACAATAAGGAGCTTCATAATTTAGACTGCATTCTTCAGCAAATATCATTAGAATAATTTAATAAAGAAGGGTGACACTAGGCAGAACTTGTAGCACGCATGGAGCAGACGAGAAAATATACAAAAATTTAAAATACAGGATCACACCAATAAGACGGAAACCATATTATGAATTATTCTGTTCATTTTCCTCTCGCTGAAAACATTTTTACAGCTCTTTAGCAGCTGCAGAGGCCGCCATCACCACAGTTAAACATAACTCTGAAAACAGAACGACAGCTATAATGCAGGACTACAAAGAAGAGACGCGGCTTAATTCAGTCGCTTACGATTAATGTAAACGTGAAAAATGTTTCTGAATTATTTTAAACTTTCACGGTGGTTCATTATCGGACGCTGGCTCGTTTCCGACGTTTCAGAAGACCACACTGCCTCTGGTCCTTTGAAACATCACCAACAAACCAACTTCTGCAGGGTTTCAGCACCCAAAAGTAGGTTCAACTTCAAAAATGTTTTATTCTTGAATTTATTTTAAAATATCTGGCTAATTTAAAGACTACGAGACTGATTTTATAGAGACATTTCTAACAAAATGTTCCAGCTTTGGTCTTCTATCCCCAAAGAAAATTACAACACCGATTTTAAAAGTAAACGTAGCAATTGTGAACGCAAAAAAAAAAAATCAAAACTGGTTTCGTCTCGTGATATTTCAGGTTCTCGCAGCGGTGAAGTCCGGTATAAATTTACCGACGTTTCAGGTGTGTTTACTGCTCTAATTATGGAAGCAGCAAGCACCTTTGAAACGTCGGTAAACTTACACCAGACTTTTCGGTGCAAGATTCCGAAAGACAGACATCTCCATGGTTTCGTCTTACTTACCAACTCGTACAAAGCTACAGAAGTCCCTCTGCTAATCGAATACCAAGATCCCTCATACGCGAACCAATAGCATGCACAGGCAAACTGCTACAGAATAGTAAATGGTCCTCTGGTACCATTATGCAAAGACTTAGGTACAAGATGTTAATTTTTGGTTTCTTAATTTCAAAAATTAAATGTGAAAACAGCAATTTTGCAGTTGACATTAATTTGAATCGTAATTAACAAGTGTGCGATAACTAATTAAACTTCTGAGCCACAGTTACGCATGTACGAATATTATGTGATTATGTCAGCATTCTATAGTAATTTATTCATTAATCAGTTATTGATTAGGGCTTCTGTAACATACTGTGCACATAACGTCCCCTCGTTTCATTATAAGCTCACGATAACGAATGTAAATCGATATAAATAAAACAGACATCATATTTTAATCGGCTTTGAACCACGTATTCAAATACTGCAATGAATTCATTTCAAAACCACCAGACTAATTTATACACACAAACTACGCACTACAGACACTATTATTCGCATATCGCTGAATGGACTGACAACCGAAAAACATTTTCTTATTTTCACTCATGCTGCTCATGAAAACATCTAATTCAGGCGTCGGCCAGGATGTACAGTAGTAATTTAACCGAGATTCGAGATGCCAGTCTGTTTTGTGCTACGGACTTGGAGATGAACGGGTGTGTTTGTAAAGAGAAAGTAATGAGATGATAATGTTGCGTCATATTGTGATGATTATAATTGTTTAATTTTAACCGTCTAATCACAATAAAATATTTTATTAAAAATTAAAATATTATTACTACAATTAACATTTAATATTTAAAATATTAAAATGATGCTCTTTCTATCGAAATGTTCGATTTACAATTAGAAGATGATGCTCTAATTGTAAATCGAACATTTCGATAGAAAGAGCATCATTTTAATATTTTAAATATTTTAAATATTAAATGTTAATTGTAGTAATAATATTTTAATATTTAATAAAATATTTTATTGTGATTAGACGGTTAAAATTAAACAATTAAACAAAGAGAAAGTAGCCAGAAACCAGTTGTAAGGAAAGCGATCAACACGTTGAGACTAGCTACTCGCCTACTGTAACTTATATTTTATCGATAACATGGACGCTAAATAGTGGACAAAATAATTAATAGTTGTTAACCAATTTCCAAGTCGGTCTGGTGTCAGAATGTAATCGGTGTAAAAGTTCGTTGAAGTAAATTTGCTGAGGAAAAAAATAAAATTTCTAAACATCTGATATTAACTAACAATATACACACGTTAGAACAAATCGTGGTGTACTTTTTCAGACTCCAGCTATACGTGCCTTTTGAGAGGTGAAACTCCAGCTTAAGAACGAAGTTGCTATAATGTATCGACTAGTCGGGACTGTCACGTGGCCCATAGGTTGTGCTGGATCAGTATGAAATAATGATGGAGTGGCGACTGACAGGACAACCCCGAAGTTCCAGAGAGATGCGTGACGCTTTGTTCCACACAAATCCTTGATGGAGAGTACAGGGATTGAACCCGGACCTACGACGTAGAAAGCTGGTTTCCAGGCGCTTGAATCTTGACACATTCACTGGACCTATAAACTGTCTGGAAATGCAGGTGTCGGTTCGGGATATTTCACGCAGTTCTAGAGACGCAGCAAACTGATTATTCTATTCCGTATCTTGCGCCATTTTTAAGCTTACTTTCAGCTCAATATACACAAAGTTAAAACCGTGTATATTCGTCCAAATGTTCGATTTACAATTAGAGCATCATCTTTTTCACGACATGTTTCGGTTTTCAATGAACCATCTTCAGGTGTATAATCGATATAAATTCAAATGTAATATTCTAAATGAAATCCTTCGTCAGATATTTAATGGACATCTAACGACATGTCGTGAAAAAGATTATGCTCTAATTGAAAATCGAACATTTCGATAGAAAGAGCATCATTTTAATATTTTAAATATTTTAAATATTAAATGTTAATTGTAGTAATAATATTTTAATATTTAATAAAATATTTTATTGTGATTAGACGGTTAAAATTAAACAATTAAACAAAGAGAAAGTAGCCAGAAACCAGTTGTAAGGAAAGCGATCAACACGTTGAGACTAGCTACTCGCCTACTGTAACTTATATTTTATCGATAACATGGACGCTAAATAGTGGACAAAATAATTAATAGTTGTTAACCAATTTCCAAGTCGGTCTGGTGTCAGAATGTAATCGGTGTAAAAGTTCGTTGAAGTAAATTTGCTGAGGAAAAAAATAAAATTTCTAAACATCTGATATTAACTAACAATATACACACGTTAGAACAAATCGTGGTGTACTTTTTCAGACTCCAGCTATACGTGCCTTTTGAGAGGTGAAACTCCAGCTTAAGAACGAAGTTGCTATAATGTATCGACTAGTCGGGACTGTCACGTGGCCCATAGGTTGTGCTGGATCAGTATGAAATAATGATGGAGTGGCGACTGACAGGACAACCCCGAAGTTCCAGAGAGATGCGTGACGCTTTGTTCCACACAAATCCTTGATGGAGAGTACAGGGATTGAACCCGGACCTACGACGTAGAAAGCTGGTTTCCAGGCGCTTGAATCTTGACACATTCACTGGACCTATAAACTGTCTGGAAATGCAGGTGTCGGTTCGGGATATTTCACGCAGTTCTAGAGACGCAGCAAACTGATTATTCTATTCCGTATCTTGCGCCATTTTTAAGCTTACTTTCAGCTCAATATACACAAAGTTAAAACCGTGTATATTCGTCCGTTTTATCTTCTTGACTACATTGCTGATTGGTGTGAAATTTTGTATGGACACTAATTTAGGGCTACTTTCATTTTGGCTTACATTGATGTACTAGAGTTTCTGCGTCTTGTAGGTCA